ACACCCCTTAGCTGTTATAAATTCACTGTAAACCACGGCTTCTTTGGGCGTATTGCTTTATTATTCCTGTGATCAAAGATACATAATTAGCATAATTACTCCAGTCTTCAGTGTCACATGAGACAGTTGTGCTGCCGAATGTTTTTGTGGAAACTGTGACATTTTATTTTTCAGGATTCCTTGTTAAATAGAAAGAACAGCAGACAAGAACAGCATGTATTTGAAATAAAAATCTTTTGTAACATTATAAATGCCTTTACTGTCACTTTTGATAAATGTAATGCAACCCTGATAAGTAAAATAATAATAATAATAATAAATCAGATTACAGTCCACATATAAATGTGGTTTGGATCGGGCTAGTAAAAACTTAGTCTTTTATTTTTTTATTTCCAATTTGCTAAAAACATCAGATGTTCAAAAAGAAAACAAAACTGTACATGATTTTCTTAACTAAACAAAATCAGATATTGATCAGATATAAATCATTATTTTGGAAATTTCTTTACTTCCACTTGGCAGTTTGTATTTTATTTTTGTTTTATAAATAAAAACAAAATGATAAAGAGAGATACATAAACAGTAAAGTCCTTGAGCATTCATAGTGTGTGGTGTAAGAGTATTGTTTTGATTATATATATATATATCAAATAATTGCTCTTTAAAAACATCCTGTAAGTTTCAGAACTCAAAACGTTGTCGTTAGTCGAAAAACTTCTTATATCGAAGGCAGTCTGCCAAAACCACAGCTTGAGGAATGTTCTAGTCTGTGATGTAATAGTGTGGCTAAGCTCCGCCTCCACAGAAGGCAGTGTGTAATGCTCAGTCAAATCAGAGAGTCTAAATCAAAGCAGTATGAACAGCAACCTGAAGAACATAATGCTTCACTTTGAAATGACAGCACCGTATCTTTCAATACGCACCGTAAAAACAAAAATAGAGACGCAGCACCAGAGCAGCGAGAGGTAATATCCCATCCGGCCGAACAGAAGTCCTGCTAACACTCCCACAAACATCCTGAGCAAACAAACACAGCAAGAATTCACACAATGGTGTTTGCTTTAAAGAAAATGTACATTGTATGCAATTCATTAAACACACATTCAAAGTGTGTAAGTTTTTTTTTTTTCAATCAAGGACTTTGTTTGAATACACAGCTGGCAATGAATATTATAAGTAATATTATTGCAGTGATAGGAGGATAATACTGGTATGAAATTATACACTGATTTAAAGTTAGAAACAATACGAATGAAACTTAACAACAGCTCCTCTATTAATAACAAATAGAATAGCCATAAATAATGCAGAGTCCTTCATTTCTGGTTGAACTAATCCTTTAGAAGTGTGTGAATTAGCCTAATCATTTTACTTACTTAGTTAAAATACACAAAATAAAATTCCAAAGACTACCCAATAGCACCACCTAGAGTCCAAAACACTGTCAGGACCAGTTTGAACATTGATACCGGTGTTAAAATTATAAAATTGTTGCAAGTCTAGGGGAAAAACGTAATAACTAATGGCCGTACCCAACATATTTGTATCCAGAAAAGGCCACCAGGTCGATGGTGGTGAGGTCAGTGTTAACCGTTACCAGATACAGACTGAGAAGAACAGCCAAAACCTCAATGATGAGCCACACCAGCGCCGAGCTGGCCTGAATGCCCAAGATCTCTGGAGAAAACCTGGAAACAAGAAAATCAGGCAGAGCACAAGTCATTAACAAGCAAAAACAGAGTTCGTTTGCTTGTGTTTAACGCCGTGCCAGCTTCTGTGGCTATTTTTATGGTGAGAAACGTTATTTATTTTTGCAGGACAATTGCAGGAAGTCTCCGAATTTCCTCCTTTTCCTGTGAAATTCATGCATCATTAAAACACATAAAACCACATCTTATAAACCAAGCTTCATGAGTTAGTAAATAAGAATCATATAGTGATTATGTTAAACATCTGAACTGGGAATCTGGGGAACTGGGAATTTAATAGCGCATATTGATGCTGCTTAGAAATCAAAGTCAAAATCACATTGCTCTTTTTACAGCTTTCCTTTTACAGACTTTTTTTTTTTTTTTTGAAAGAATTTACCTTTTTAAACATTCTCGTTAAAAGAAAAAAAAATGCATTTGCAATATATTATTGTAATATACCACTGAATAATAAGTTATAAAATTAATTTATATTATAAATAAAACAAATTATTATTATTATTACGAAATATGAGTTAGTATCATTTTGGAAATTTATTCACTTTCACATGGCAGTTTCTGTGTGTAACTGGGTATTTAATAAATACATTTAAAAGAGAAATAAATTCTTGATTATAAAACGGAGAGTTCCGGTGCTTGATTCTGATTGGCTGAGAGCTAAGGGGCGTATGTTTAAGTATGTTTGTAAAACTGTACTTGCAGATATGAAGTTCTTTTTAAGGGGCTCAAGGGCAAATCTTTACAGGCTAGAATAGTGCTGTGTGTTGTGTGATGAATGTGTCCACTAACAGCAGGGCAATGGTGGGTCAGAGGTCATACATTCTCACAGTATCATCGGTGGAGAAGCGCCCAGAGCTCTTACCGGTTCTGTGTGCCCAGAGCCAGTCCTGCTACCAGGATGTACGTAATGAACCCCATCACTGCGGAGTCACAACACAAACACATACACATGCATGTAATACATTTCCCATGAATACGCAATAACAGCATCTGCATCAAAATTCATGAACTGAAACATACGAGTCATACCGGGAATGTACAGGTCAGGGGCGTTGATATCAAACCGCGGGGCGACTGGCGTGTCCTGCTGATAGCTCACCTCCCAGTTCTACAGAGAGCAGGACATCACACAAACATTCATCCAGACACGAATCAATGAACAAAGAAAGGCACCTCTGAAGTCCATAGGACTTGTGTGATCTATATAACATTTTTGGAGCTTGACAGACCCTGGTCATAAAAAGAGTCGTCAAAACTTCTCCTTTGTTGTGATTTTTAAACATACTATCTCTTTACATGACTAAATCATATCCTCAACTATCCAGTAAATACAGTGGCTTGATCCTTGTGAAAAAGTAGTGTGCTTAATTGTACTGAATGTGCACTTGTAGTGTACTTCAAATCTTAAAAGTATATATATTTTTTAAAAACTACTTGCAGATGATATAATATCAATGGCATAAAATGCCACTGAAGTGTACCTGTTTCTTAACGCACTTAAGTAAGCTTTTAAAATGTGCACTTTTGTAATAATGTCAAATAAAAAAAAATATTTTAAAGTACATTTTAAGTCACGTTTTTAATAACCTTTTTAAAAAGTCATGCTTTAAAGTACACTTAGTTTGATGTGTTGACTAACAACACAAGTACTTTTTTAAACTATAGCGTGTCATTCAATATTACATTTAAAGTTAATATATTTTAAATGTACTAAATTGCAACTTCATCATTACAAATGTACCGAAATGCATGACATATGTTTCAATAGAAATGACATTCAAGTATATTTGAGTTTATCATAAATGCTCATCAGTTCATTCAGCAGTAACTTTAACCATATTTCAAAGATAATAGAAGTCATTAAGAAATTGCTTATGAAGATGTACTGAAGTCCTACTTAAGTGGGTAAAAAAAACTAATATATATTTTTTTTTAAAGTTCAACTAATTGCATTTAAAATAAATGTAAACTATAACACATTTTGCAAATAACAAGCAAGTAAGTGTCCAAAAGACATTCGGTTCACACTTAAGTATATTATTTTCAAGCGTATTATTTACAAAATAACAACTCTCTTATTGCAACAACTGTGTAGGTCTGTAAGTGTGATCTTACGTCATGCATGTAGGGAAACACCAGCAGTCCAAGCTTCTTGCCAACATATACTGTGTCCACTGCAAAATAGTACTTCAGCTTAGAGATGGGGATGAACCGATCCAGCTGTGAACCAAAAGAGGAACAAGTCACACTCTAAAATAATAACACAGTTAATCAACCCTGCAACTCTGATTCATATCCCACGACACACATCCACTCGCCTCTGCAGGGAAAAACAAGCTTGTTTCAACACAGCAATGAACATCACATGCTCTTCTACACCGCAACAAACTCACAGACGTCCACACGCATGACCGTTCCTACTCAAACGGCTTGACGTACGTTCTTGTCCATCATCTCTTTGCCGTGGGAGGCCAGGCTGCTGCCGTAGGCCATGGCGAGGTTAGACATGGGGTCCGAGAGCAAAGCCTGTCCCGGATACACATCAGGGCCTTTTCCCACACCGCTGTGCTCGTGTGTGTTCCCTCCAGCGCTGGTGTCGTCAAACAACAGACTGGGGTCACTGGGGTCCACCGGGGTCCCTCGCATCCTGACGTCCGGCTCTAGAACACAAGAAATCACATCTAAGTCAGCTACAATCCACATTACGTACACAAATGAGTGTAAATGTTGGCAAAAGCCCATAGCAGACAGTTACAACACGTCAAGGCATGTAATTCAAGCCTATTAAGCAACTCATTTTGATTTATCCAAATCATCTGCCATCTAGAAGATCGCATTCTGATGTTTGATCTGTTGAATGTATGTAAACAAGCAAATAAAAGCGGAGCTAGAAAGAATAAATATTCGCCTGAATTAGCTTTTGTTGTAAACACAGTTATTTAATAACCAAACAAGCACACAACTGACCACATCATGTTCAACTGATCATGAAATATGTGTCTTTTATAGCAAATAATATCATTTATCCGCTCACTGTTGAATAACAATGGGAATAATCACGTACGTAACTTACGCTGTCTGAACCCACTCTGGTTTGGATACTCCATCTCTCCCAAAAATTTATCTTTGTTTAAATAGTGAGGTTACGAAAGACATATATCAATATTTATCAACACATTTAGACGTCTAACCGAGAAGCTGCCGGTAGTGAAACTAAAATTAGCACCGCAGAAATAGCAGGAAAACTGGAGATGAACAGCTATCGTGTAACAGACATCACTTCCGGGTCACGTATACGGCGCGCTTCGGGATTGGACCGTTCCGCGCTGACGTGCAGGATTTTCTTTATGTTGCTAACATGTTTTAGAAGAGAACATTTGAAGAGACTGTAAAAAAGTGAGCAGATTTTTATTTATTTTTTATTTTTTTGGTCGATGACAAAAGTATTTACGACCCAAAATGTAGTAATACAATTATAAGAAAAGTTTTTCAGTCAATATATATATATATATATATATATATATATAAACTGAAAAAAAGCATTAAAAAAACGAAACCATTTTCATTTAGTTTAATTTACTTTGGAGTGGTTTCCCAGGTAGGGATTAGATTAAGCCAGGACTAGGCCTTTGTTAAATTAGGGCATTTAAGTAGTTTTTACAAACATTCCTTACAAAAAAACATTACCTGTGTGCATTTTAAGACCAAACAATGGCACTGGTGTAACTTTAAGATATGTCAGTGCAAGCTTTTTTTCAGTTTAGACAGCTCTAACATTTATTATATATATTAACTGGAAAAAAGCATGGCTCTTACCTTATACATTTTGTGTCCCCAACAAAGTAAAAAAAAAAACTGCATAATATATACCCCGCCAAATCAATTACATCAAAATGTTGTAATGCTCACTTGAATTGTAATTTCTGTAATTTCAGTCAGTTGATCATCTTGATCATTATCTGGTGAGTATTTTGAGTTTGTTTCAAGTCAGTCAGGTTAATAAAACCATCACATCATCCACATCCAAAGAGCAACAGGACACGTGTCTATAACTGATATATAACACTAAAGATGTATCTGAAAATATCATCACGATCTCACGATTATGCAAACAATTTTATTTACATTTTTTCATTATTACAATATAAGAAAGAATGTCCAGCATTTGTATTTAAAAACAATCATCATTTGGAATTAAACAAGAGATTTGTATGTGCAACAAAAATGCAATATTTACATAGCAATTACCTGAATTATGTTAAAAAAGACAGTCTGGAAAATTCTTGATCTCATCATGATTGCAATATGGATATACTTTAATCAGTTTTTGTTTTCATTTCACCAGTTTTAAGAGGAAAAACAGTTAATAGAGTTGTCTCAGTTGTGTGAGATGATCAACAACTCACACCGCAGTGTAACTAGTGCACGATTCAGTGTGAAAACTATGTGTTTCTGAACATAGACGTGAAACTGCACTATACAGACTTAAATTGAAACGAAAACATTTTGAAACATGGTTTTGATGTACCATTTCCATGGTAAGGCCAATGTCTGATTTTAAAATGATTTTCACTGGACGAATTTTGAGATTTTAAGTTTTCAATTAATATATAATGACTGATGATTTCTAAATCGTGATAGGAAAAAAGGCAACAAAGAAAGACTTTTTTGTGGCAAAGCTCAGAACTCCTGCTATGATGTAGATTTTTGAGGTGAACATAAATTAATCTATTACTGTTCCTACATCATTTGTAACAGTGATAAAATATGTATTTAGGTGTCTTAGACCTTTCCAATGATGTAGGCTATAGTTTGTCACGATTAGATTAGGAAAGTGAAGTAAACTAGGCGTTCCTCTGAGGGACGGGTGACAGTTAAGATTAAAATGTTTATTTGATTGATTGATTAGTATTACTTGTGAATGCAGTAACTTTTGTCATCTATATAGTCTAGATCAGGCGTGTCAAACTGCAGCCCTGCAGAGTTTAGTTCCAACCCTGCTCCAACACACGTACCATGTAGTTTTCAAATAAACCTAAATGATTAGATTAGCTGGATCAGATGGGTTTAATTAGGGTTATATCTAAACTGTGCAGGGCCGTGGCCTAACACCCTTGGTCTAGATTGATATTTAATTTTTCCACATTCAAAAGTTCAACAAAACAATTCTGATTCTGGTTTTGATAGGGGTATTTCCAGTTTGTCATAATTTTAGAGTGGCTCATTTATTTATTTTTTGTCTGTGAGATGTATTTTTGGTCTGTATACTTGTGTCATCACAACCTGCATCTGCTCATTGTCTTTCACTCCATTGCATGTTCATAATGGCCACAAACCACCCCTACATCCTCGTCATGAGAGCAGTTGTTTTTGCCCAGTTTGGCGTGTTTGCAGTGCAGTAGAGTCCGTTCGGTTCCTTCGCACTCCACGTCGTCCAGCAGGATTCTGACACCGACGCCTCCCGCCCCGAGCTCGGCTCTCTTCGCCACCCGCAGAGCCACGGGAAACCCCATCTGCCTGCAGACCACCGCCGCAGCCTGTATGTTAAACATGTCGTCGCACACCGTGCCCCATTCGCCCCGCACGAAGATCTCCACTCGGCCGCGGTCCTTGTGTCCGTCTGCGCTGACCAGCCTCGCCGTCCCGGCTCGAGATCGACCCCTCCGCTCCCCTTTCCTCCTGGGCTTGCCTCGGCCTCGTTTGCCCGGTCTGCCGGTTTGGGTGTTTGCGGTGGTCCAGTACGCGGGTCTGGGGGTGGTCAGGGACGGAGGTCTGGGCCGCGGGGTCGTGTGGAGAGCGCGCGGCTGTGGTGTAGACGGTCGAACGGGGGTCGCTGGAGGAACCCCGCGGGTGGTCATTTGTGGTACTCGTGGTCGTGGGGTCGCACTGGGTTTGGTGGGTTTTGGTTTGGGAATGGCAGTTGTTGAGGGTTTTTTGTTAATTACGTACTCTGTGAAACAAAAAAGACAATGTCAAAAAAGTATACCTCAAGCCTAGGGCTGCACAATTTATGGGAAAAATCTGACTGAAATAGTGATTGCCATTCAAAATGCGATTAAAAAACAGTTCTGTCATGACAACTCTCGGAGGGATTGGCATGGTAATGTACATGACAATGTTAATGTATTTGGTCTTGGTGGAATAGATCTGCTACGCTGCTGCGGCTGCAGAGCAAGTACCGAGACTTGCTACTGCCAATACTCCCCTTTCCTCCTGGGCTTGCCTCGGCCTCGTTTGCCCGGTCTGCCGGTTTGGGTGTTTGCGGTGGTCCAGTACGCGGGTCTGGGGGTGGTCAGGGACGGAGGTCTGGGCCGCGGGGTCGTGTGGAGAGCGCGCGGCTGTGGTGTAGACAGCCGGACGGTGGTCGCTGGAGAAACCCGGCGGCTCGTCGTTTGTGGTACTCGTGGTCGTGGGGTCGCACTGGGTTTGGTGGGTTTTGGTTTGGGAATGGCAGTTGTTGAGGGTTTTTTGTTAATTACGTACTCTGTGAAACAAAAAAGAAAATGTCAAAAAAGAATACCTCAAGCCTAGGGCT